GTCCTTAGTTCTGTGCGGTGTACACCTAGGACTGGAATTGATGGGTCATTCTGTGTTTAACTTTCTGAGGATCTGCCACACTGTTTTCCGTAGTGGTCAGGTCATTTGTTGCCTCTTCAAAAAAGAGGAGCTTTTGACAGAGTTCTTTGCCCCCAGGACCTTCTGAGTCAAAGCTAAGAGACTATATTTATTCTCTTCCTCCAAGCTTCTCGCAAGGCGTGGCGATTTGGTTAGATTTTCCCTATCACCTGCTATTGACTCCCTTTCCCCCCTGGAGCAATTGCACCTTCTTCCACATATCATCAATTTTAATCCAGTCCTTTCTCTCTAAAGAAGGCCCCGTGGTTCCCTGCTGTGCAAATATACCACTGGAACTGCAGGAAATGCGCAGGAGCCTCCCCTTCAGTTTATCCTGAGGGTCTGATTGGATCGTGCAAAGAAATGCATCTGTCCCATCCACCAGGTAACAAAATATCTCAGCAGCCAGCTCCACCGGGGTGGGGTGTGGGAAAGGGACAGCCAGTCCTGTCGATCCCTTTGAAATCCTGCAGTTATGTCCAAATTTATGGACATAGTATCTTGTTGTGGGAGATGTCCAGCCTCTGGAGCCCTTAACTGAAGTTTTAGTGCAGAGATTACCAGGTTCGATATTGAAAGAGAAAACGGAGCACAGCAGGGAAGACCCCTGTGTAAATCCCTCTGTCTCCCCTCCCCACTGCCCTGACTCCACCACAAAACATGGCCAGTAAGGGAGACACATCACCATATGTAATTTACGAATCACATATTCCAATTTTTGACCAGACTTCAATTTGTGTCCCCCCTGGGTTAATTCTATTGCCCCTATGGGGCTTGTTAGCAGGCCTTGGCGACACTGTAAATGTGCCCTGTGCCCAGGAGATCTAGAAGAATTACTTCTCCACTTCTGGCCATTTCACCATTGTAAAAGGCCTTGGGAACCCCACTGGGAGTTGGGTCAAGAGACTTTGACCTTTTTTCGGGGATGCCTGGGTGGCTCAGTTGGTTAAGCGTCTGACTTCGGCTCAGGTCACGATCTCATGGTTCATGGGTTCAAGCCCCGTGTCGGGCTCTGTGCTGACAGCTCAGAGCCTAGAGCCCGCTTCAGATCTGTGTCTCCCTCTCTCTCTGCCCCTCCCCCACTTGTGCTCTGCCTCTCTCTGTCTCTCAAAAATAAATAAATGTAAAAAAAATTTTTTTTTTTTTAAAGAGAGAGAACTTGATCTTTTTATCAGTCTTCTTCCTCCATTAGGGCCTTGTTTTTTTTTTTTTGTTTTTGTTTTTGTTTTTGTTTTTTTGTTTTTAACAGTAAGGAATGTCAATTATTTTTAAATTTTGAAATAATATCAGTCTTAAGGAAAACTTGAAGGTATTGGACAAAGAACTATCGCCTTTGTATTAAACCTGAATATTTTAGAATCTGATGTTGTAGGCTCACTGGAACCTTTTTTCTTTCTGAAATTTCCCTAAGCCTCGGAATTTTCCATACTAGGGGCTTTGCGGAGACTTAGATGTGGGATGCCCAGATTTTCATAAAGGTTTTGGTGACACTTTTTCTCTCAACTTCCTCCATTTTTGACTTTTAAAATGAGCTGTCTAAAGATTCCCACATGATTATAGGTTGACTTGTTAGTCCATTTCTTGTTTTGATTTTCTTTCTTTTGTAAAGTTCTAACCTTTTTGAAAACACCTTTACTGAGATGTAATTCATATACCATATAATTCACCCAATTAAAGTGTATAATTCAATGGTTTTTAGTGTATTCACAGAGTTGTTTTTCAAGTGTTTTTACTGGCCCCCAAAGAAACCCTCTTCCCCTTTAGTTACCGCCCCTCACCTTCGGCAACCATGAATCCACTTTCTTCCTCTATGGATTTGCCTCTTCTGCACATTTCACATCAAGTGGAATCTTAACATGTGGCCTTTTGTGACTGGCTTCTTTCATTTATTATGATACTTTCAATGTTCATCCATGTTGGACTATGTATCAGTACATCATTCCCCTTCACAGGTGAATAATGTTCCATTGTGTGGATGTACCATATTTTGTTTAGTCATTCATCACTTGATGAACATCTGGGCTGTTTCCACTTTTTTTGACTATTATGATGTCGCTCATAAATGTTGGTGTACCAATTTTTGTGTTGACATTTTAAAAAAATTTTTAATGTTTTATTTATTTCTGAGATGAGAGAGACAGAGCATAAGAGGGGGAGAGGCAGAGAGACAGGGAGATACGGAGTCTGAAGCAGGCTCCAGGCTCTGAGCTGCCAGCACAGAGCCCGATGCGGGACTTGAACCCATGAATGTGAGATCATGACCTGAGCCAAAGTCCGACGCCCAACTGACTGAGCCACCCAGGTGCCCCTGCGTTGACCTGTTTTAACTCTCTTGGGTCTCTAGACATGGAATTGCTAGGCCAAAATGTTAACTCTTTGTTTCACTTTTTGAGGAACTGCCAGTCTGTTTTCCAAAGTGGCCGTGCCACCAATTTTTTTTTTTTTTTTAATATTTTGAAATCCTCTAGGTGGTAGATGGGATAAAGAATTCGAGGTTGCCTCTTTTACATTCTCCTGTGGTCTCAATAGCCAAGTCATATATGGTGTCAGTGCTGGCGGGACGCCTTTAATTACAGTGTCAGTAGTAGCCCGGGTGAGGGGAGCTTGATTCTGTCATTATACGGATAGTTCAATACTGCCTGCACCTGCAATATTTTTGCAGCTTTAGTGTGCATTGACAAGGGAGGGGCAGTGATATTGCCTTTCCCGGGATAAGCATGATGGGCCCTTCTCTTAATCCATTCTAGAAATCTAGGGGCTTCCCTATGAACCATCCCCACAAAGGGATTAGCCAATAGTTGGTGAGCCCAAATATTCCCCTGTAGTCAGAAGTGTTCAAAGCAGAGACACCTAAAATTCTCAGGAGCCATTTTAACAAAAGATTATCAGGACGATGTCTGTAATGACCTGCAAAATTATTCCATTCCTTCACTGAATAACCCCTTATTTCCATAGTTTCTTGCCTTCCCTGTCGTCTTGCCCAACTTGAATTATCTTCCTTGCTGTCCTAGCTCTCACCGAATTAGCTGATTCATCAAATATTATGGAGATTCTGAGCTTCCTTTCATTTGGCTGATGCTCAAAGCAGCAACCACAGAACTGAATTTTTAGCCTGATAATCAGTCTCCAGTTCCCTGCTGGCCCATTTTTCTAGCCCCTGAGGTCCAGATTCCTTCAGTTCCAGATTTCACTGGAATGTTCTACTACCAGTATCTATTTCAAAGTCTGTGCTACTTTAAACCAAGAGTAACTTGTTCATTTCCATCCTTTTTATCAGAATCACCCTGTTTCTTTCTAGTAATGGCATTAGCCATATTTTGAGCTGAGAATGAGTCAGGGCTTTTTCAGTAAATCCTACATCTGACACCAGCTGCTGAAATGGTTTAACAGGCTTTGGTTGCTAAAGAAAACTCGCAGGATCCTAAAATCTCTACAGTTTATTAGAGAGAAAAAAGACAATATTCAATATAGCAGTAATAGTTAAGTAAGGGCTGGAAAGGGCCAGTTCTATTGTTCTTCTGTAAGAGCCAAGACTCAGCGCTTTCACTCCTGGGACAGGAACCATCAACATGTGCATGGAACACTTCGGAGCAGGCAGCCCAAAACTGAGTCTCTGCTGGTTTCTAATGTTTTACTGGTCACATAGCATAGGCATGTTCCTGCTACGTAACTAGCCCCAACTGCAGAGCCCTTTGGCTGTTAGCAACAAATATGCTGAGAAGCTGACAAAAACTACTCTGAAGCTCCCTGAACCCATGGGTTTCAAAACAATACTATCAGATCGGTGTGTGTCGTACGTTGATCAGGGGTCAGTACCCTGTAGGAACTTTGACAAATCAGGTCCTACCATGGTTAGCTCTCAAAGCGATGAACTTATCTCTGGGTAGTGCTTTACAGTTTTACAGAGTGGAGGACTTTAACCACTTGAATAAGCTGGTGTTATCACCCCCACTTCAGAGACGAAGAACACGAGGTTCAGAGTGCTTGTGACTTGCTCAAGGTACCCTGAAGTACCCTGTGCGCTCCCTCCCCCCCATTTTATCTTATCACTTAACACGAAGTTTGTGCATCTCTTATGTTTTTTCTGAATTCCACTAGTCATGTATGCATCTCTAAACAGCACGCTGATTAGATTAACGTGCTTGAGGGATTTTATAATAATGGAATTATGCTGCAATGTATCGTTCTGTGGTTTGCTCCCTCAGCGATTTATATACCCTTCGAGTGAGCCTCACTGCTGTCAGCTGTTCGGAATAATCTTCGCTGTCGAAATTGTTTGCATACGATTATACTGAAGTCTGTGTTTACGTTCGACTGTATGGGTGTTTGTCTTCTCCTCAATTATTAGTGACTACAAATAGTGGTGCTATAAATATTCTTTATTATGTCTACTCGTGCAGATGTGCAATTGTTTCCTCGGGGGAACATATTCTCCAGAAAGAAGGTACATCTTCAAGTTTGCTGGATAATTCCAAATTACGTTACAAAGCGAGTGTATTAAATTATACTTTCACGGGCAGTGGTTAATACACGAGCACACACACACATCCTATACCTACGTATGCACACACGCTATACTCATGACCGTCACACACAGCACTAAACACGCACACGGCTCCGCAGACGCACACCACCACGGTCTTTACAGAACGCACACCGACACACAGACCCACACCCGCGCACAACGCACGCACACTCACCCCAACGCCACCCGTACAACGCCACGTTCAACCACGGACACAAAAAGGCACGCCCCGCACTCACGTCAGCACGCACACAGCCCGCGTGCTCGCACGCAAGCCCCCACGTGGGCCAACCAGGGGGCGTGGTCCGCGTCGCTCGCGACTGAGGAATCCTGTCCCAGCCGCGCCGCCGTCGGACGCCAGGTGTCGGAGGTCAAGGCAGCGTTGGCGGTGGTGTTTTTTTCTACCCGGAAACCACGGCTGCCGGACCCTGAGAGGAGGCTGTGTCGCGGTGGCGTGAGCCGGACTGGTCTCTGGTCCTCGCCTGGGCCCCGCGGAGCCCGACGCCGCCCCCGGCGCGGCGGGGAGGATGGTGCCGAGCGGCCCCTGGCCCGCCGCGCGCCGCCGCGAGTGATCTCTGAGCGGCCGCGGGCGTCCGCCGAGCAGCTGGCCCGGCCGGGGCCGGGGCGCGCCGCTGCCCACCGGGGCGGGGTGAGCCGGGCCGGGCGGGCCGGGGTCGGGGCTCAGCCGCGGCTGAGCGCGGGGCCGGGAGGGCGCCGTGCAGGTCGGGAGCGGCCCTGCGGGCCGGGTTGCCGCCTTCTCCTCCCGGGGCTGCAGCCCCCGCCCCAGCCGCCGGTGGGGGTCGCTCCGCTTTAGCCCGAGTCTGGCCTGCGCCGCTGGCGTGGGCCCGGTTACCCGCCACCGGCGTTGGTCCCCCCGCATGCCGTGAGCAGGGGGTGCCCCGCCGCCCTCGAGATGGCGGGACTGCCCGCATATGGACCTGGGGCCTGGATAATTTGGAGTTGGCACGGGGAACATTTTGGTAGTTTGCCGTTTTTGACTTGGGGTCGTGTTTGCGTTACTTCTCTCTTGGCAAATCGTATGCATCTCTGGAAGAAGGTGGGAGGGAGGGACTCACCTATGTGCAGCAGCTTGAAATAGAGGTATATTGTGTGTCAGGCTTGGTAAATACCCAGAGTGGGGCGGATAATGATCTTCACTCGTATTTTAATCAAATACATTAAGGAGTGGCTTCGGGGTAATCCAGAGGCAGATAGTTCTGTTTCTCTTGATAAACACCATTAGGAATAAAACCAAGCCTGTTGTGCAGTTTTGAACTGTGTGAACACCATAGCCGGGGGACAGCTGGTGAGGGGGCCTTTGTTGAAGATTCCGATGCCTGTAGTTTAGTTCCCAACTAGCGCAGATTACAGCCCTCACTCAGCGATGAATGGGGAGCTGCTTTGCAGCCTGCTTTAAAGCAGGGAAGGTTGTGGCTGCTCCTGAACTGCTACTTTCCTGCCTCAAAGGTGAGCCTCTATGGGAGTTAGTGGGAGGAAAAATTCCAAGACTGGAATTTGATTAATTTGATGATGGATATTTAATAAATTTTTTTTGTCCCAATAGCTCTCTGGTTAGCTTGGGGGTCTGAGCATTTGTATCCTGTGTGTAGATGAAATTGCTTGAAGGATAAGAACACCTTCCGGTTTCCTCATTTAAGGAAAAGAAATAGACCTGTTGTGCAGCTAAGATCTACTTGATGACTGCAAGCTGTTTACTCTCTAGGATAAGGAGGCAGGGTGCCGGCTTCCTGGTAAAGGTGGGGGAAGAATTTCTGTGGCCTGATTGAGGTTGAGAGGACTGGAAGCCGGGCTGCCACCCGTGTCTGCGTACTGAGAACCCCAAATGCTAGTCAGGTACCCCTGTGCTTGGGCTGCTCCGAGGAGTCAAGTGCAAATGCAGTTTCTGCCCGCCCGCAGGGAACAAGCTTAGAGAAAACAGTAGGCTGTTAAAGTGGCAGGACTTAATGGCCACACGGAAATGATAACTATCAGGGGTTGTTGTCAAGGTTAGGCTTCATAACGGAAGTGACTTGTCGTGGACCTCCAAGCATCTTGAGGATTTGGGTGCGAATTAGCTGGGAAATGAAAAAGCTGGGGCCGGTTGTTGGAACTGCACTCAGGCTAGGTAGCCGGCAGTGGAAGCATTGGCAGACGCAGTCGGTGAGGAGGGTTAAATGCTTTCCTAAGACAGAAAAAGCACAGGCTACCCAGTCTGGCTTCTGGTAAATTTCTGAGTTCTAAAGAATTGTTTTCATTTGGTGGGTTTCTTTTGTTCTGTTACACAGACAGGGGCACAAAGCGGTGCTTAACTTATTTTAAGGACAATGAAAAAGATGCTTATTGTGATTCCTGTCTGGTATTAACAGCCAGGAAATTAAATTTGGTGTCTGCAAGTTGTTTCTGTGCCTGTGTTTAGTTTGCGTGAACTCGCCTCTAGGATGATCTTTGCCATTCTGGCTACAGCCAGTTAATGAACGGCAGGCTTTTTAGCCAATTCCTGAGTGTTTTGTTTTTTGGTTTTTAAATGTCATTTAATTATTATTTTTAATGTTTATTTATTTTGAGAGAGAGAGAGAGTACGAGCAGGGAAGGGACAGAGAGAGAGGGAGACACAGAATCTGAAGCAGGCTCCAGGTTCTGAGCTGTCAGCACAGAGCCCTATGTGGGGCTCGAACTCATGAACTATGAGATCATGACCTGAGCTGAAGTCAGACGTCTAAGCCACCCAGGCGCCCTGAAATGGACTCTTAATTATAGAGAACAAACTGATGGTTACTAGAAGAGAGGTGGGTAGGGAGATGGGGATTAAGGAGAGCACTTGTGGTGGATGAGCACGGGATGTTATATGGAAGTGTTGAGTCACTATAGCATACACTTGAAACAAATATTATACTGTATGTTAATTACCTGGAATTTAACTAAAAACTCAGAAATGAGCCCAGTATCATAGTGATTTAAAAAGAGGAATGGAGGAAAGAGTTTGTAGCAAATTGATTTTCCATTTTGGATTTATTTTGATAAATATGGAAATCTTTAAATTATTTTTCCCTGGTACAAATTGAATAAATTTGACAAGAGGTATGTAGTTCTCTTTGTGTATAATTCCATACCTAAATGTAGGCCTCGGGACTGTACAGTGACCTTTGGTGATAACTGTCTGCAAAGTACGGTCATTTGCCGGTTGGACCTTGATGCTGTTTGGTTAAAAGTGCTGTTTTCACAACGTCTCCCAGTCTTTACACTGAGTTTGGATGTGATAATTTCATATTGAACTTTTAGTGTTGATTTAATCTTGTCATTGCTCATGATTTGTTTTTTAAAATATCTGTTAATTAAATTCCAAGTCATTAAACTTTAATGTGGGGATACTTGTTTTTTTTTATATATATATTTTTTAATGTTTTTATTTATTTCTAGGAGAGAGAGAGAGAGACAGCGTGAGCAGGGGAGGGTCAGAGAGAGAGGGAGTCACAGACTGAAACAGGCTCCAGGCTCTGGGCCGGCAGTCAGCACAGAGCCCGACGCAGGGCCCGAACCCACGAACCGCGAGATCATGACCTAAGCGAAAGTCGGACGCTTAACCGACTAAGCCACCCAGGCGCCCCTAATGTGGGGATACTTGTTAAGTTTGGTTTCTAAGATGGTCAGCAATTAAAAAAAACTAAAGAACAAAGATAAATTATTTTCCACTTTGAGGGTGCCTGGGTGGCTCAGTCAGTTAAGCGTCCAGCTTCCGCTCAGGTCATGATCTCATGGTCCATGAGTTCGAGCCCTGCATCAGGCTGTGTGCTGTCACATCTCAGAGCCTGGAGCCTGCTTCGGGTTCTGTGTCTCCCTTTCTTTCTGCCCCTCCCTCGCTTACTCTTGGTCTCTCTCAAAAGTAAACACTAAAAAAAATTATTTTCCATTTCGGACCTATGGTGAATTAATTTTTTTAAAAGAGGAAGGAGGCACGCTGGAAGTTACCATGGTTTTATATTATGTCTTTGAAAATGGAGCCATGCGTTTGTTAATTATAAGTGAGTAGAGATGCAGCCAGAGTCTGAATTTTGGAAGTAAGTCTGGTTACACACAGGTAACTATGTCAACCCAGGTTGTTCCTTTTCGTCTTTGAGTACTGGTATTGCCTAAAATGCACTAAAACTTGATGCTTTCTGTTGTAATTTATCTTGATCATTTAAACTTGTGAGTGAGTGTGAAAGTCTTTTCTGCACCATGAAATGTATTAGCTTGAGAAACAGGAAACATTGACAAAGATTCTACTCCTCTTTGCTTTATATTCTGATTGATGAGTGTTGTAAGATATGAATTGCCTTGCTTAAAGAGGTGGAAAATAAGTTAACCATTTTAAACTTCAAAAAAATCAGTCTTTTGCTTTTATGACTAAAATACACCATATATAGCCACGGCATAAGAAAATTTTGTTTCTTTTCAGCTTGGCATTAGACTTGAAACCTACCTATCAACCGTGGTGTTGTGATTGATGACAGCTTTTGGAGTGAGATGAATCTGTCTCTTGCCACTTACTCCCTGGCACAGATGGCTTAACCTCTTTTGACTCAGTTTCCTTGTCTGTCAAATGAGATTAGTAATACTCACCTAGCAGAGTTGTGAGGATTAAAAAGTATGATACGTGTAAAGCACTTGGCATGGTGCCTGGCACAGGGCATATTTTAAGTAGTAGCTGTTAAAAATGATACTCTCTTGGGGTGCCTGGGTGGCTTAGTCGGTCAAGCGTCCGACTTTCGCTTAGGTCATGATCTCGCGGTTCGTGGATTCGAGCCCCGCGTCGGGCTCTGTGCTGACTGCCAGCTCAGAGCCTGGAGCCTGTTTCGGAGTCTGTGGCTCCCTCTCTCTCTGACCCTCCCCTGCTCACGCTGTCTCTCTGTCTCCTAGAAATAAATAAACTTTAAAAAAAAAAAAGTGATACTCTGATACTCTCTCCTTTGTCCTTTGGCATCTGGTTTCTGCCTTTATCACATCACCTTAGTTTATTAAAGGGGCTTCACTTATAGAATTACTGATGTCTTAATTGCAAAACTGTATGGATAGTCTTCTGTTTTTATCCCCTTTGGTGCGGTTGACTCAGGTTGACTCTTTATCTGAACGCATCACACTTCTTAGGAGGCAGTAGTATGCTTCCTCATCGACGCGCCAGTTCTGGAGGCTGACTGGATTTGAATCCAGAGTCATTTACTACTGTATGACCTTGGGCAGATTAGCAGACTTCTTTGCTTTGATTTCCTCCTCTCCGAAATACAGATGTTGTGAGGATCATATACAGTATATGCAAAACTCCTAAACCGTGTGCCTCTTTCGTAAAAAGCGGGCAGTTACGTTAGATGTTCTTGTTAAGAACCTGCAGAAACATCATGGAAACAGAGGCAACGAGAACAGGACACATCTGGCTTTCAGTGTGGCTGAAGAAGGCAGTGGTGCCTGGCTATGGAGGACTGCCACGTGTTAGGGACACTTACAAGGTGGGAACCGGTGGCAGTGGTCACTGGGTACACGGCTGTGTCCTTCCTTATGAGGAGGAGTGGCTTTGGTTTCTTGGGAGAAGTTTTGATCTTGGCTCAAGGTACCTGTGGGTCGGCTAAGTAGAGAGCTCCTGTCTGTGGATGTTTGGGCCTGGGGTGGGTGATGGAT